CCTCCCTCCCACTGGAGGAATGGCACAAGCACACGCTGCAGAAGTCTGCAGAGTTTGGTATACACAAAAGTACAGATTGATTTTTCCCTGAGGGTTTACTGGGGGTGGGGGTGGGGGTGGGGGAGGAGGTGATCTTTCAGCTCCAACACTGGAGATTGGGTGCTTCCATTTTTATTTTCATCCTCTAAAGCAGCGTAGAAAGCCTTCAGGGAACAAAAGCCACATAGAACAACCCAAAGCAGCTGGTACTGAGCCCTGCCCCCTGGGAAGGGGTGGTGCAACTCCTTCTAGGCAAAGACACCTGAAAATCAGTGCAGCAGACCTCTCCCCCAGAGGACCTGCTGGTACATCAGGGGAACACCAACCTTACCAAGTACAAAGAACTGCAAAACTCCAGTGCTAGGCGAAAATAATATATAGAATTTGAGGTTTTCTCTCATGATTCTTTTATCTTTCAATTTAAAATTTTCCTTTTTTTCCTTTTTAACTCGTTTCTTATTTCATCAGTTCTTTGTTTTTAAATCTTTTTATTAACTTTCATTTTTACATTTTATAGATATATTCTTGATTTTTGGCTTCCTTTCCCTGTATTCAATTTATTTGTGTGTGTATATATATGTATGTATACATATATATATGTGTGTATATATATATATGGAGAGAGAGAGAGAGAGCTTTCTTTACAATTTTGGGATTTATTGTCTTTTTTTTTTTTTAAGATTTTATTTATTTATTTGACAGACAGAGATCACAAGTAGGCAGAGAGGCAGGCAGAGAGAGAGAAAGAGAGAGACAAGGGAGCAGGCTCCCTGCAGAGCAGAGAGTCTGATATGGGGCTCGATCCCAGGACCCTGGGATCATGACCCGAGCTGAAGGCAGAGGCTATAACCCACTGAGCCACCCAGGTGCCCCCGGATTTATTGTCTTCTAATAAACAGACCAAAATACACCCAGGACCAAGTAGATCACCCTAATTTGTCCACATGGAGGATTATATTCTCTCTTTTCTCCATTTTTTTTTTCTTTAATTTTTTGGTTTCTGACCTCTTCAGATTTGTCTGGTATGTATTTCACTTGGGTTTTGGTTGATTTTTTTGTTGTTGTTGTTGTTCTCTCATTTGTCCATTCTTCCCTGGCCAAAATGACTAGAAGAGGAATTCACAACAAAGGAAAGAACCAGAAGTAATAGTGTCTGGCACAGATCTAATTGATACGGCTGTAAGTAAAATGTCAGAGCTGGAACTCAGGATGACAATGATAAAGTTACTAGCTGGGCTTGAAAAAAGCATAAAAGACATTAGAAAAACTCTTAGTGCAGAAATATATCTAATCAGGTCCAAATTAAAAATGTTTTAGCTGAGATGCAGTCTAAATTGGATGCTCTAACAGCGGGGGTAAGTGAAGCAGAAGAGAGAGTCAGTGACATAGAAGACAAGATGATGGAAAGTAAGGAAGCTGAGGAAAGAAAGAAAAACTAACGGACCATGAGGGAAGACCAGAAATCAGCACTACCATAAAGTGAAACAATAATAGAATTATTGGAGTTCTAGGGGAAGAAAAGATAAAGGGACAGATGGTATATTTGAGCAAATCATAACTGAGACCCTCCCTAATGTGGGGAAGGGAGCAGGTATTCAAGTCCAAAAGGTAGAGTCCAAAAAAGCCCTCAAAAATAATAAAAATAGACCAACATGCTGAAATATAATAGTGAAGCTTGCAAATTTCAGAGATAAAAGGAAAATCCTGAAAGCAACTCAAGGCAAATCTCATAACCTACAATGGTGGAAACACTAGGCTGGCAGTAGACCTATCCAGAGATCTGGCAGGCCAGAAAGGGCTGGCATATATTCAGTGTACTAAATGAGAAAAACATGCAGCCAAGAATACTTTATCCAGCTAGGATGTCATTCAGAATGGAAGGAGATAGAGATCTTCCAGGACACACAGAAACCAAAAGAATTTGTGATCACTTAACAGCCCTGCAAGATATACTAAAGGGGATCCTATACATGAAGAGAAAGCCCAAAAGTAACATAGACCAGAAAGGAACAAAGACAATATACAGAAACAGGGACTTTACAGGTAATACAATGGCACTAAATTCACATCTTACAATAGTAACTCTGAATGTAATTTATATTCATAAATTTGGTAACTTAGACAATTAATTCTTAAAAGCCACGTACTCCTAAAACTCAGCCAAAACTAAAAAATGATGAAATAGACAAACTCAATATACTATAATCACTAAAGAAATTGAATTTTTAATTTAAAATGTCCTGAAGAAGAAAAAATCTAGACTCAGATGCTCTGGTTTATTTTTAAATTCATCCATGTTGTTGCATGTATCAATGGATCATTCCTTTTTGTTGCTGAGTAGTACTCCATTATATGAATATTCTACATTGTTTATTTCATTCATGTTGTGGAATTTGGGTTTTTTACAGTATGGTACTATTATGTAAAAGCTTTTATGAACATTCATTTACAAGTCCTTGTATGAACATATGTTTTCATTTTTCTTGGGAACATACCTAGGACTAGAATGGCTAGAGCATAGGGTAGGTGTGGGTTTAAATTTTAAGAAACTGCGAAACTTTTTCAAATCAGTTGTATGTACCATTTTACATTCCCACCAGCAGTAGCTGTGTATAAACTATGATTTCATTTATATAAACTATAGAAAATGCAAACAAATCTATAGTAACATTGGTTACCTGGGGTGGGATAGGCAGGGGAAATAATTACAAAGGGCACAAAAGAACCTTTGGGGCTGATGAATATATTTGCTGCCTTTATTGTGTAATGATTTCACAAGTGTGGCCATGTATGTCAAAACATATAAAATTGAATACGTGTAGCCCATAGTACATCAATTACACTTCAGTGTTAAAAATAATAATAGGTGTTAAAATAATGGGATATTTGTTTAGTAGGATATGTTATTTAGCTTCTGAATAACTGATTGTGACTGAGGTCTCATGAGACTTACTGGGGCACCCAGTAGTTGAGCAGACTAAATCTAAAGCCATAGCTCCTACTGGTAACTCTTCTAACCAGCTCACCAGCTGTCACCTTGCACAACCCCATATCTGCCTTTCAGCATTGATGGAATGAGTACACCATTTCCTTCCCATCTTCAAGGGCCATTTAAGATAATGGTTTGGAAATGAGAGGTCAGGGCAAAATAATAAACTTTTTAAAAAGTCAGTATGTGAACACTTGGTTTCACAGTTCTTGACTATTTTGAATTTGACAAAATGAACTTCGACAAAAAGCTGCTTTTCCATCTTGGGTTGCTCACAAAAAAGATCAAAGAAGAAAGGGTTTATACATACAAAAGTATATAATTATACATGCCATAGAAGAATACCATACAGATGAATTTTTAAAGATCATTTTAATTTATTTATGCCTCTTCTACCCTTGATTGGCTGGAGTAATTGAGGAAACTGAACTCTCATTTTTCCTTCATCCTCATACCATGCTAATTTCAGTCTCTATGAGTTTTCATTCGTGACATTCTGGAAGCTGGCATATTCTCAACAAACCTTAAACATTGGCAAGCATAATGACAAGGTCTGTAGACTTCATGACAAAACAAAACTGACCTGTACTCCAATCTCTTGAAACCTTTGTCTGAATTCCACCCTTTCAAGGCTCATCTTGAAATCTTGCAAAGATCTTGCAAATCTTCTTCTCCACAAATGACTTCCACATTATTCTCTATGCTACAGAGGGGTTTCTATAGTGTAGTGGTTATCATATTCAAGTCGCACTATTCTATATTCAAATCTCTCCCTTTTCTGAGTTATTTATGCTTACAGTCTATATCATGCTATATGACAATGTTATTTTGTAGCATTCTAGAATTGTTCCATTAATTCGTCTTATTTCTACCCCAGGTGCAGTGTATTCAATTAGTCATAATGCCCATTTTCATCACTGGTTGTACAAGAGCACTCTTGTGTATTTTATTTTATCCCCATACTACACCCTCTTTATTCCATTGCTGCTGTACCCCGTGGTCTGTCACCTTCCCCTTTTTGTAAGGACAGCCACCTGAGGAGAAAGTTAATACCTACTTGCTTTGAGCATCTATTTCTTCCTCTATAAAGAAGGATAATACCACATACCTTAGTGGGTTGTTATGAGGAATAAATGAACTAACTCATACAAAGCACCTCAGTACAGCAAAGTGCATATGGCAGGGGCCTGATGATGGCTCCTATGAGCCCTGTTTGCTGCTTCAAATTGTAGTCGTCTGTACCTGTTAGCTCTTCTAAGAGTGTGAGTACCTTAGAGACAGGTCAATTTCAAATACTTCTTTATTATCTCATTTCTCCACACTCCACTTTGTGTACTATTCCATACATTTATGTTTACTGTAATTCTTGGGTTAGCATTCTACTAAACTAGATCTTACGTATATATGCTAGAGTTATTTCGAAATGCTTTTTTGCTGGAGGGGAGGTGGGTGGGGGGAATGGGGTCAGGGTGATGGGCATTAAGGAGGGCATGTGATGTGGTGAGCACTGGGTATTATATGCAACTGGTGAATCACTAAACTCTAGCTCTGAAATTAATAAAAAAAAACACAAAAAATGCTTTTTTTTTTTAAATTTTATTTTTTATAAACATATAATATATTTTTATCCCCAGGGGTACAGGTCTGTGAATCGCCAGGTTTACACATTTCACAGCACTCATCATAGCACACACCCTCCCCAATGTCCATAATCCCACCCCCCCAACCCCCTCCCCCCATTAACCCTCAGTTTGTTTTGTGAGATTAAGAGTCACTTATGGTTTGTCTCCCTCCCAATCCCATCTTGTTTCATTTACTCTTCTCCTACCCCCTTAACCCCCCATGTTGCATCTCCTCTCCCTCATATCAGGGAGATCATATGATAGTTGTCTTTCTCCAATTGACTTATTTCGCTAAGCATGATAACCTCTAGTTCCATAAAAATGCTTTTTTTAATCCAAGAATGTAGTATGTGTTAATATTTTTATTGCAAGATTCATGGTAATTGTTTATTAATTATTACATATTGAAAGAAAAGTTCTATCTACTGAAAGTAAAATTGTAAGTTAGTCTTCAGTGTATAAGAAGATTGCTGTTTTTCAATTCTACCTCTGGTGGCTTAAAAAATACAAGTACTCCTCCTTCAGTCATGTTTTGTCTTCCAGAATTTAAAGTAAGAGATATCTGCATCCTGCAACAAAGTGACAGTAACATGAATCAGACCCTCCTTATATGTACCCTATTTTGTTTTTTACAAATTCCTTCTGTTTTCAGGAGCTATAGCATTATGATTCACTGTTAAGAATCCTTACAAAACCTGAGCAAATGCTTAAATTAGAATAAAAATCATAGCCAGAATTCTAGACCTACACAAAAATACCACTATAGGATTTAGCATCATTATATCCTCTATCAGGTATAAATATCATATTAGCATCTGCCCATGGCATTTCTTAAATGCTGAAATATCTACCATTACTCTTCTGGACCAGCATATCATACCTATAATAAATATAAAGAATTGGGGCACTGGGTAGCTCAGTTGGTTAAGCCTCCAACTCCTGATTTCAGCTCAGGTTATGATCTCAGGGTTGTGAGATCGAGCTCCACATTGGGGCTCCATACTCAGCAGAGGTCTGCTTGAGATTCTCTCCCTCTGCCCCTCCCCTTACTCATGTTTGCTCATTCTCTAAATAAATGAACCCTTAAAAAAATAAATAAATAAATACAAAGAATAGGTCAGGGTATTTAGAATTGAAGTATCTGACAGATAACTCAAAAATGATTTGTGAACTTCTAGTATATTGCTTAAAAAAGTAAACCAAGGTAACGCAATAATTCTTAAGATGTGACATTTCATTGGGCAAGATGTGCATTTAATACTTATAAGAATTTCCACTAAGACAAAATAATAAATAACACAATTCAGTGCAGGTATTGTTCTTGATCCTGAAAAATAACATATATTCATAAAAACAAAGTTCCAGACATAATGTTCCTAGTCTAAACAACAGAAATAAATTCAAGTATTATCAATAAGTACATTTAGTTTGGGATAAGCTATATTGGCATTATCTTAACATAGATGCTTTATAAGCAAATTTCAATAAGTAGATGGATATATATATATTTATTTATATATATAATGTAGAAAATAATGGGGAAAAACAGGGAGAAAAACTTGAGTTAAAAAAGTGAGGAACAATTTTTTTTCTTTAGTTCATATGATTTCGTGTAAAGGAGGAGGGATTCTTTTCAGAAATATCCTTGGGAAATGAAAGGATGTGCAGTTTATCATTAAAAAAGTGATTAACAATAAGACCAGTAGTAAGCAGAGGCTCCCAGGTAGTTTGGTTGCTTAAACATCTGACTTTGGCTCAGACCATGATCTCGGGTTGTGGGATTGAGCCCATGTCAGTGAGGACTCTGCTTCTCCCTCTCCCTCTGCCCCTCCCCTCTGCTCACACTTTCTCTCAAATAAATAAATAAAACTTATAAAAAAAAAAGACAGTGTAATAATATATTAAAGTTAGTGGTAGGAAGAGAAAAGCCATCATTTTAGCAAGGACTTGATGTAACCAAATGCTTGATTTACTGAGTACTGTCTGTATTTCACAGTTAGATAATCTATAAACAAGACAAAATAATGTTATTGTGGACATTCCAAAAAGCACAACTGCTATAGTGGCACTGAACAGAGCTCTCGCCCCTGGTCCCCTCTTCCCTTGAACCCAATCACTTCTACAGTGTATTCTCTCCCTACCCTCTCACTGAACTCTTTCATCTTTATCTATTAGCTAAATATCCTGCTACCATCAAAACAAAAGCATTAAGAGCTAATACTTAACAAGCCTAACACTCCAAGACATGTTTTAAGAGCTTTTCATGTACTCACTCACTTACTCCCCATGACAATCCTATGACTAAGTGCATCATTAATCTCCATTTTGCTGATGGGGAAGACTGACGGACAGAGAAGAACTTGCCTGAGATTGAGGGATGAGGTCACAGGATAGAGCTGGGATTTCTACCCAGGGAGCCTGGTATAAGGCTCCATGTTCAAACAGGACACTATATGTCACCTCCCAGTGTGAAGCCCTTTCTTTCTCAGTTCTCATCCATCACTGGGCACAATACCACTCTACCAGTTGTCCTCCGAGTTCAAAAGTCAGATGTAAATCTTTGATGAACCTCTACCTTTGGAACGATCCCACACTATATCCCAACATTACCAAAACACTATAAATCGTCCACATTACAACTTGGTAGCCAATGAATGGCCTTCAGGATTTTTCCAGCTTGGAATTTGTTTAATGCATCAAGGAAGTTTTATAACCCTTAAGTCTCTTTAAGCATTTTGGTTGTTTACTTTTTCCACTGATTCATGTTCACTGTCCTGCAAAAACTGGGAACAAATTAAGTGCCTAACAAATTGTGGATTGCTTAAATAGTGGTAGATTACATAATGATACATATGGTATGCTTCCACTGAATAATTTCTTTATATATCAAACCCTGCTAACTTACTTCTAGAAGAAGCAGTCTTTGAAAACATATTTTACGATAGAAACCATCCACAGAAATGGCTTTTCTTTGCATTATCATATGTATAATTTCTGGCTTAACTCATTACATTTTGTGATCTTTATACATTAAACTCTTGTGATGGTCACAATTTTCTCAGAAATAGCCCATAATATTCCTCACTTTTCTGTAAGAATGAGTGCCAAAAGAATGAATAAATCACCATATTTTTCTCAGACATAGACATTTTGGCACACATCACATATTCACAGTGCTTCCAGAATGAGGCCAAAGGAACCAACGCTACACAGAGAGTGTGCATGTGTTTTAACAGTGCGGTAAGAGCTTTGACAGAGTTAAGCATGGGGCTGAGGTACGCTTCATCCTAGGGAGAAGTGGGAGGGAAGGCCAGGTATCAACCCAAGGAGACCATACCAGGTAGGAACTTGTGAAAAGCAGTAGAGAAAGAGTATTTTGACCCATGCACTGGTCAGGAAGTGCAGAAGACAAAATGTCAATCTCTGATTTGATTTCACCTTGAAGAAACCTCTTTCTCTAAGACCAGTAGTAATTTATAGTAAACCAACAGAAATGCATGGGGGACACAATTCTTTTTATCTCTTTTATATATATCATGAGGTTGATGGAGGATCAGTAAGAAAAGTTTTCAAGCACTAGAGAATTCATACTTCCTACAAGACTGATACGTATTAAGCAGTAGGAGTGCTTGGGTGGCTCAGTCGTTAAGTGTCTGCCTTCGGCTTAGGCCATGATCCCAGGGTCCTGGGATGGAGCCCTGTGTCAGGCTCCCTGCTCAACAGGAAGCCTGCTTCTCCCTCTCCCACTCCCCCTGCTGTGTTCCCTCTCTCTCACTGTCTCTCTCTCTCTGTGTGTCAAATAAATAAATAAAATCTTAAAAAAGAAGAAAAAAGTATATAAATGGGTCTTACCAAACCATTCTTAAAGTTCTCAATCCTTTTCTTCCCTAATTTGTTGGTTAGCCACCAGGCCCAGGTTGGCATATATTGCCACAAATACGTTATTAATAAAAAAGGCTGATATGTGATCCAAACTTCTTTCAAGTCATTGGCCATGCTGATTAACATCAGCCGCACACAACGACTGGTCGCCATCTTGTGGGACTGGTCAGTATCAACAACTATGGTCTAAGAAAATATTAAAAAAAGGAAATTAAGTGAATGCTGAGTATTTATCCAAGCTATTTCACAGAACTTTTAAGCTAGAAAGGACATAGAGGTCATCTAGGGGAGTGACTCTTTCAGTGGGACTCATGCCCATTTGCAGTCCCCATAGCTACTAATGGGTGTCTATAAGCTATTTTTATATATCCAAAAGCCTAAGAGAAATCATACACTTACCAGAGAAGATGGTGCAGGCTCAACAAAAGATGAAGGTTCTTTGCTTTTCCTTAGATCACCTTTAATGTATTTACTGATAACTATATGTCATTTTAGCAATAAAAGTTTTTAAACAAATTACTAATCCACTTAGCAAGAGATATGGACACCATGGGGATAAAATGGAGGAAGAGGATAAAAGCAGTTTCTGGTAGTGAACAAATCTGGTACTGCTCATCTAGTTAACCCCCTACCATTCTACAAATAAACTGAGGCCCAGAGAGGTAGTGACTCAGCTGTGCTCCCACAGACCATTAGCGGTAACCATTTCTACAGTCCAAATCACCTTATTCCTAGAGAGCACACTCATTCTATTCTACCCTAGAGCCTCCACAGAAAATGTGAAGATATAAATGGTATCTATAAACTTTTACATACAAGCAGAAATAGATTTATGTCTCAGCAGAAATCGATCTTCATTGAAAAGAAGAAAAATTTCGTGGTCTTTTGTTGGATTTTGTATGATTGAGTGAGACTGAATTCTTCACAAGACATTTGTCTTCCACTGGGTAACACTATGTGTAATTCATGAGCTCAGTGAAGCACAGGTGAAGCTAACCTAAAATTACCTCAGTTTGGCAAAGCTTTTCCTAAGCTCCTTCGCCATTGCCCCTCTTGAAAATCCCAGAAGATTTCATGTACTACAATTCAGCCAGAGAGAACCTTTCAATGTCACTATGATTTATGAATTGACAGAAGCTGGGCTTTAAGAATACTGACAGCCCACATAACAGTGGATTATTTATAAGCAGTATCTTCTCAATTTCTTTAGCCTTTATTAAAACTTAATGCCAAAGCACCATCAGCTAACCTTAACAGTGTTCCAGGTGCCATAAGGTTAAGTTTTGTAAATCATTCATAACATGGTAACATGTTAGTCTAACATGTCAGAAAAAATTCTAAGCCATGAAACATAGTGATACAATATCAATATATAACCACTAAAGCATTTAAATTATTCTCTGAGGCATTTTTACCTTTTGGATTCTCCAACTAGGGAATTCTTCACAATATTTGATTGCACAGGTCCTGGACAAATGTTAGATACAACTATACCTGGGTATGTAGCAAGTTCAGTTCGGAGGCAGTTAAAAAAACCCTAAAAGGCAAAAAAAAAAAAAAAAGGCAACAAATAAAATTAAATACACATATCTCATATTTGCTATTAGCATGAAATTACTTTTCTTCAACTTTTTATGGGGACAATAGTGGCACATTATCAAAATACGCTTTGAAATGCCTACTAAAAGATGTAAAATATAATTGGGCAACCTTACTAAACATCTTTAAGTGTAAGACTGGGAGCAATATAGGACAGACACGTTCGGGCATTGTCATCTTCCGGTAGTAATGGTTCGCCCCTCTTGGCAGTGGTGGCTCATGGCATCAGTGAATTTTTATGGTACATGCTGGACAAGTGGAAAACCACCCCTGGAGATTATTCCGACATACCCTGCTCACACCATCCCCAGCTCCCCACTCCCAAAGAGGTGTGTGTTCTCCACTGAGAATCACTGAGGTTGGGCCACTTTTATCCCTCAAAGTGGTCTAAAGTGCCAGTGCTGGCACAAGAAGGAGAGAGAGGGGTTAGGAATACCTAAGAGAAATTATCAGAGAGGAAGAAGAATTCAACATTTTCTATGTATATTACTATTTTAACAGATAAATCATTTCAGCAAACATTTACTTTTAGGGTTAGCAAGAGAGTATGTGGCTGATTAAAAAGTAGTATGTGTGCTTACTTGATGGCTTTTGTAGACACAAGCTAGACCCTCTAGATTTAAAGATATTGGCCATTTCTAAATCGAATAGGGAGTAAACATCTACTTCCCCTCATCTCTTTTCTAAATTAGGAAATGTTCCAAGACTGCATAGGTATAAGCTGAGTTAACAACTGAAGAGACTAAACAGCTAACTCAGAATGTGTTCTTTTACTGTCCACCATTAACCAGTTACCAGCTTCCAATGCTGACCACCAATCAACAGGGGCAGTTAGGGCTCCTGAGTCAGAGATTAATAAAGTGCCTAACTCAAACGGACAGGAAAAAAGGCTTTTTGTAAATTCAAGAACTCTCATACCCTTAACCTTTTGCCTCTCTGTAGCAAAAAAGGATGAGGACACCACGAAAGCCAACATGTCAGATGCAAATGCACCCCCTTGTCTGCAATCACGTCTGGTACAGAGTATGAACTTTTCAATGATAAATTCACTCTAGAGCTTGTTGGGAATCAAGAAAGGAAAAACGTTCTTAGAAAAGTGCTTCCCGGTCCCAGGGTTCAGCTACTGGTTTAACTAACTAGAGTCTCATCCTGCCATGTTGTATCAGAGGATCAAATCCAGCAGCACCACAGTGAGTCCTGGAGGGCAGGCCAGGCTGTGTTTCACTGAAAGCACTCTGCATGTCATGAGAAACTTGGCTGCCTTCCCTTATCTGCCTGCCTGAGACTTGCCCAATGGCTCTGCAGGAAGCGACTACTAACCCAGCACCAAATATGGGGACGTCGGCAGTATGGTTTCCGGTTCACCACTCTGCAACTGTCGGCTCTTGGCAGTGGAAAGAGGGTTCCCTAAAGAACAAGCTTCAGATCTTCATGAAACTGCAAGGACCAGTCAGCCGTTGCATCTCATTATTCCAACAGTGTAACATGCTACTTACAATGACTTTCAACAACATTAATTATAAATTATGTGTCTCCTATTGGCCTTAAGATCTAATTTGTTCCATGTTACAGTTTAATAATATTTTTTCATATCTATCCTGAAGCCAACATGAAAACTTCATGTCTTTCCAATATTAAATCCAGGAACTTAAGCAACCCAAGTCAAGCTTTTCTCCTAGCCTCTGCCATGACTAGCTTTTCTTTCAGTGAAGCTATGGTCAACAGAGTCAAGCCTAGTCCTAGTAAGGATATGAAGCCCAGGGCTACTCATCCAGTGGGGAGCTCCTATTTCTGACATGCACATATAGTTAGATCAGAGAAAATAAATGCCCATTACAATGGGGAAGGAAAAAGAAGCCACAGAAATGAGAATGACAAATACAACCTCAAGTGTGTGTGGAAGAAACGAGGTGTAGATCCCAAATTTGCCACAAAGATCTGGTAAGGATGAAGAGAAGGGTGACAGGCTGACTAGACTAAACACTTCTTGAGGGTAGGGACCATTTCTTATCTTTATATCTCCATGTTGCAGTGCATGGCATGGCACAGTGTAGATACTTAATACGTGTTTGCTGATATTAGGAAGATGCCTTTGAGATTCAAGTCCTTTTCAGCATCTTCTGGATATGTCCTCTAACAGAAGTCTCCATGGGTCATTCTTGCTCTTTCCTTACATCACTGCCCAATTCCCATAACCTCTTGCAGAAATGGCCATATCTCCCATATACATATTTAGATCAGTACCATCAGAGCAGCCTTACCCGCAAAGCATGTTTGCTGGCACAGTATCCAGTACAAAGAGGTGCAGATATGATACCCAGGAGGCTATTCACAGTAACAATCTTTCCTTGCTTCCTCTCGATCATGTGAGGCAAAACACACAATGTCAAGGACACCGTCCCTAAGTAGTTAAGTTCTATTAGCTCTTTGAAGACATCCAGGCTGGTTTCCACAACCAAAGAACGCTGGGCTCTTCCTGCATTGTTGACCAGAATGTCGATCTAGTTAAATAAAATCAGAAAAAGGCACTTTGGGGATGACCTGTAAATGGATTGATGCAGTTCTTAGGGATAGTTTGTTGTATCATTAACTTGAAAAAAATCAGTGGAATGGTGAATTTCCAAAAGTCAGCAAGAAAGAGAGAAAATAAAACCAGGATTCACCTATGGAAATAATTTCCCATTGTAAGTGACTTTTTATAAATATCACAAAAATAAAAGGCACAGTGAATTTTTACTTTCTTTTGTTCTACATCAACGAATTAGTACTTATTAAGGTATGGAAAGTACAAATTACATAAAGCCAAGACTGTGAGTATAAGAGACTCATGGGCACTGGGACCCATTTACCTAAAGCCCTTTCAGTGATAGCACAAAGATGGGAATCTCTTTCATATCTGTGTCAAAGCAAGACTTATCGATTCAAAATGGCTCCTTACTTTACCAAACTCCTGGAGAACCACTTTGGTAGCGGCTTCATGGGAACTTCTGTCAGTCAGGTCAAGTGGCAAAATGAGTATATCTTTTTCTTTTAAATTGCCATTCTCTAGATAAACACATTTAAAAATTAGTACAGAAGTCATGAGAGTTCAATCAGGCTTCTCACTACTTGCATTAAGTTTAACACCCACCCTACAACTCGACTTGGCAACAAACTCATTTCTGGTGGCTTTGTGGAAGAATTTCTCTCAGTGACCGAGAGGACTGGTGGTAATGAGGCAACATTTTTTTTTAAACATTTTTTTTTAGATTTTATTCATTTAGTTGACAGAGATCACAAGTAGGCAGAGAGGCAGGCAGAGAGAGAGAGAGAGGGAAGCAGGCTCCCTGCCAAACAGAGAGCCTGATGTGGGGCTCAATCCCAGGACCCTAGGATCATGACCTGAGCCGAGGGCAGAGGCTTTAATGAGGGCAGAGCCACCCAGCTGCCCCGAGGCAACATCTTTTTTTTTTTTTTTATTTGACAGAGAGAGAGATCACAAGTAGGCAGAGAGGCAGGCAGAGGTAGCGAGGGGAAGCAGGCTCCCTGCTCAGCAGAGAGCCAGATGCGGCACTCGATCCCAGGACCCTGAGATCATGACCTAAGCCGAAGGCAGCGGCTTAACCCACTGAGCCACCCAGGCGCCCCCTGAGGCAACATCTTATTAAACAAAAACCTAGCTGGGTCCCCAGGAAGTAGAGTGGCTCTCCTCAACATGAATATATACAGTCTAACATTGGAACATGCTCTAAAAGAAATCAAGATTATGCTACAAGCAAAAAAAAAAAAAAAAAAAAGCAGAAATTTTAGAGCTATTTCTTTAGAAGTACAGAGGTACATTTGTCTTATGATAGGTGCACAAAGTATAGCTGCCCTTTTACACACATTAAAAAGAAAAACAATTTATGCCTTCAGAGTTCCCCACTCACATGACACATAGGCACTTCCTTCCAGAGAAAAGGATTCCAGGAAGCAAACAAGGAACAGGGCACAGTCCTGAAATTCCCAATCAAGAAACAGATGGAGCTAGACTGGCCCTTTCTGTGGCTGTTCATCAAAAGAATAAGCCCTAATATTGATATACAATAAGTGGGGCACCTGGGTGGCTCAGTGGGTTAAGCCTCTGCCTTTGGCTCAGGTCATGGTCTCAGGGTCCTGGGATCAGGCCCCGCATCTTCCCCTTCTCTCTCTGCCTGCCTCTCTGCCTACTTGGGATCTCTCTCTCAAATAAATAAATAAGATCTTAAAAAAAAAAAAAAGAAAAAAGAAAAAGAAATGCAACAAGTAATGCCAATTAAAAAAACAAGCAAGGAGAGGAAATAAAAGGGGTAGAAAGGATTTATGGGAAAGTCTAAACTGTGAAACGTGAACTGTTTAAGAGAAATGGAAATGCTTGCACCAGTGATTCGACAGAAGAAAGGAAAACAACCAGCCTCACTCCAGCCAAGAAATGCTGACATGGTTTGTTTCTGCCAGTACAGGACTTGCCAGTCTCAACAGCTAGAGGAACAACTATCATAGGAAGTGTCGCTGCACAAAACCCAAGAGGCCTCTGATAGCAACACTGGGAAAGAGGCCTTGCGGACCTGGCTGCTGACTCCCCTTTTTTGGGTGGTTAATGTTTAAAGAACAACAGGTAGACAGATGACCAAAAAAATGGTCTGCCTGAAAATTCAAAATTATCTCATTTTAGGTACTAAATGCCCCATGAGAAATAATCACTTTATAACTTGAGACTGCTTTCATGTGACTATAACTATACCAAAACCCAGGCCAAAAAAATAAAAAATTAACATTGTTGCTCTATCTATGAATATGAATATGACCTCAAGCTGCATTTTAAAACCTAATTCAATTCCCATTCTTTCTTTTTGCTCTTTCATTTTTATAACAAAAATCTTATAGCATCCCATATGACTTTAATAGCTGACATTTTAGCAAAATGAAGGATCCTTTCTAATTAAATTTCTGTGGTTACATACATGTATGCCGTACATAACAATCAAACTGTTCTTTCTCTAAGACAAAAATAAAAAGGTATGTGGTCACTGAAAACCCACCAGCATTTGAAGGAATTGGTGGTCACCCCCTAATAGCAAGGGTCAGTGCAGAAGATACGTAGAAAGGCACACATAGATCAATGGAACAGAAGAGAAAATCTAGAAATAAGCCCACAATGATATGGCCAATTAATCCTTTACAAAGCAGGAAAGACTACCCAATGGGAAAAAGACTCTTCAACAAATGGTGTGGGGAGAACTGGACAGCAACATGCAAAAGAATGAAACCTGGACCACCTTCTTACAGCATACACAAAAATAAATTCAAAATGGATTAAAGACCTAAATGTGAGACAGGAAACCATCAAAAGAAGGGAGAGGTGCATGGGTGGCTAAGTCGGCTAAGTATCCGACTTTTGATATCTGCTCAGGTCTTGATCTCAGGGTCACTTATGTTTAAGCCCCATGCTGGGCTCCAGGCTGGGACTGCAGCCTACTTAAAAAACAAACAAACGAAAATCCTAGAAGGGAACTCAGGCAGCAACTTCTTTGACATTAACTACGGCAACTTTCTCCTAGCTATGTCTCTTGCGGCAAGGGAAACAAAAGCTATTGGGCCTACATCAAAATAAAAAGCTTCTGTACAACCAAGGAAGCCATCAACAAAACTTTAAGGGCAACCTACTGAATGGGAGAAGATATTTGCAAACGACATATCCAGTGAAAGCCTAGTATCCAAAACATATAAACAACTTACAAAAACTCAACTCCCCCAAAATGAACAACCCAATTTGTAAGTGGGCAGAATTTGCAATGACAAGGATGAAGCTAGAATATTATGCTGAGCGAAGTCAGTCAGTCAGTCAGAGAGAGACAAATAGCACATGATTTCACTCATATGTGGAATTTAAGAAACAAAACTATTTTAGTATGTATGCTGCGAAGGCGAGCACTAAGAAACAAAGGAAACAACTATAAAGAAAAAAGAAAGAGAGGCAAACCAAGAAGCCCACTCTTAACTATAGAGAACAAACTGATGGCTCCGAGAGGTGAGGTGGGAGGGGGGCAAGGCGGGGGGAGGTGAGTTGAATAGGTGATGGAGAGTAAGGAGGGCAAACTCACGATGAGCTCCAGGTACTGTATGTAGATGCTGAATCAGTGAACTATACACCTGAGACTAATAATACATTGCATGTTAACTAACTGGAATTTAAATAAAAACCTTAAAAAAAATGAGCAGAAAAAAATGAACAGACATTTCTCCACAGAAAACATTCAGATAGCCCACAGACACATGAAAAGATGCTCATCATCACTTATCATGAGGGAAATGCAAATCAAAACTCTAATGAGATGTCACCTCTCACCTGTCAGAATAGCTAAAACCAAAAGCACAACAAACAACACATGTTGGTGAGGATGTGGAGAAAAAGGACACTGATGTACTGTTGGTCAAAATGCAAAGTGGTCCAGTCACTGTGGAAAACAGCATGAAGGTTCCTCAAAAACTAAAAAATAGAACTATCTTCAATCCAGTAATTGCACGACTGGGTACTTACCCAAAGAATCAAAAACACTAATTCAAAGGGATACATGCACCCCTATGTTATGGCAGCATTATTTACAATAGCCAAGATATGGATGTGGCCCAAGCGTCCACCGATTGATGAATGCACCAAGAAGTCGTGGTGTGTATATACAATGAAATCCTACTCAGCCATAAAAAAGAATGAAATCTTGCCATTTGCAGCGACATGGATGGAGCTAAGAAGTAGAAAGTAGAATGTCAGTCGATAAGTTAGTCAGAGAAAGACAAATACCACATGATTTCACTCATACATGGAATTTAAGAAACAGAATAAACAAGCAAAGTGGTAAAAGAGAGAGAGACAAACCAGGAAACAGACTCCTAACTCTAGAGAACAAACTGATGGTTACCAGAGGAGAGGTGGCTGAGGGGAGGGGTTGAAATAGGTTATAGGATTAAGGAGTGCACTCACTTTGATGAGCACCTAGAGATGTATGGAAGTGCTGAATCACTACACTATACATCTGAAACGAATATTACACTGTATGTCAACTAGCTGGAAATAAGGTTAAAAAAAAAAAAAAGTGAATTAGAAAGGTGTCAGGAAAAGAGAAGAAAAAGGCAAGGGCAGCTAATGAAGAGATGCCCAAATGAAGAAGATTTGAATCTGAGCATTGGAAGCATTTGGAACCAGAGGAGACTGCCTGGGAAAATCCCACTCTTTCCTCTTAAAATTCTCAGAATTGTATTTGAATTCGGATTCTGGTTTATTTCTAGGAAGCACTGCTGCCATTTTAGATTTACTCACCAAGGCACCTTCTCTTCACCCTTTCCAGCTCCTGCACTCTTCTGGCGGACAGCACAAGGGACACTCCCAGTTTAGACAGCTGGTAAGCCAGCTCCTCACCGATCCCACTCGACGCTCCAGTCACCCATATCACCATATCGGTCAGCTCCCATTCTAGGGAGAAACACATGTGCAGTGAGCAGGAAATGGGCTGTGGATTACACCCATAAAAAAGATAGTCATAAACAATACCTCTAATTCTTAATAATTATTGAAGACAATAATATGTGGGGTTTAAAAGTTTAAATATCCTCTATTTACGGCCTTGATACTGGTGATGATCTCACAGGTATACGCTTACCTCAAACTCAGAGTTGTATACATTAAATATGTACCGTTTTTTAACATGCTAATCGTACCTCAATAAAGTGATTTTTAAAAGTTTTTAATTTAATATCCTCAGAAACCCCTCCTACCTAATTAAAAAAAAAAAGGCATGAATACAGAGACGTCTGTTGGCTCAGTCAATTAAGCATCTGCCTTTGGCTCAGGTCATGATCCCCAGGGTCCTGGGATCGAGCCCCACATTGGGCCTCCCCACTCTGTGGGCAGTCAGCTTGTTGCTCTGGCCCTCCCCCTGCTCCTGCTTGCTCTCTCTCTCAAAAAAGTAAAAAACAAAACAGTAAACAAGGAATCACACTTCTTCTTCTTTTTTTTTTTTTTTAGATTTTATTTGACAGAGAAAGGGAGCGAGACAGTGAGAGAGGGAATACAAGCAGGGGAAGCAGGAGAGGGAAAAGAAGGCTTCTGGCTGAGCAGGGAGCCCCATGTGGGTCTGGATCCCAGGATGCTGGGATCAGCACCTGAGCCAAAGGCAGACACTTAATGATTGAGCCGCCCAAGCGCCCCACCACACACTTCTGATTTGAGATCATAAAAATTAAAATTGGGAAATCAGTTTACTGTTTTAGTCAGACCATGCTAAAACCCGTCTAGTAACATTCCGAGCTCTAGAGACTTCCAGGGTTCAGATCCTGGATCCACCACACACAGCAAGGAAACGCCCTGCTGTGAAAACTTGGTGCCTTAATGTTCCACAACTGGAAAACTGGATTAATAAAACCTCCCTCATGGCATTGTTGAGAAAAAAATGAGTTAAAATAAATATCCAGAGCAAAATCTGACACATACTCAGTGCTTAGTAAAACGTAAACTACTTATTGCTAAAAGTGTTTAACAAATAGACTTTGCAGCAGCAACACACAGAATATTCACCCAATAATTTGCATATTCTAATTTCTCCAGCCAGGGGCAAGGGGGTTCTTAACTATAAAGGCTTAATACTTTTTATTACTTCCTACATGCTTAAACACATTACCTTATTAGAACCCTCACAAGAAACTTATGAAATAAGAATTATCTTAATTTTATAAAAAAGGAAATGAAACAGGATTACAGACGTTACCCCACTAGACTGCAAATTCCCTTAAGGCTGGGACCCTGTCTGCCTTGTTCACCGTTCAGTGCCTAGCACAGACACTGGAATATATAAAGAACTACATCAGTAACTGTGGAGTAAGCATCCCACCCCAGCAGAGCTGGGATATAAGCTCAGGTACATCTAGCTCCAAAGCCACACCCTGACCAGTGGTGCCCACATTTTAATATGATCAATCCTTTAAAACCCAACTGTTTCTTAAATGTTCAATAAAATAAAACTTGTCTTCAGGAAAGAGGTTTTACGTAAATATCTGAATCAAGGCTGGAAACATCCCAAATACTATGTCTAGGCGACAATGCCTTCCTGTCATATGATGGACTTCTATAGAAATGCACAACAGAGGACTCCTTCAGGAAGAAAGAATGTACATTCAGATTGACTGCTCATTATTCCAAAATTTTGCAATACTCAGACTAGAGAGTAAATAAAACTATTTACTAACTGGCATACAGCTCACAAAAATTCCTCCCTGTTTACTAAGCAAATATGACTTGAAACAAACAATGAAAGCCATTAGGGTCTTGCTTACCTCAGGACACCTGTAGTTCTGGCCCAGCCTGGAGAAGAAAACTTGTGTATTTAGCACCAGAGTTGGAAGGAAACTTCACAAGTTTCTCAGAGTTGGAAGGAAACTTCACAAGAGTTCCAGCCCCAACCCAGTTTGAGAATTCTCTCCTTAAGCTGTTGACTAACATCTATTTCATTCCCTCAAAGGATGTGGAAGCTAGTTCTCTCCAAAGCACCCCCTCCTTCCTTGGACTAATCTGATCATTCAAGGAGTCAAGGATTCTTTCTTATATTGTGATCTACCTTTAAATTCTGCAGCCCCGTAGTGATTGGCAGCAGCTCCGCTTGTAGTAACAGAAAAAATAAATCAAGCCTGGCTCACACATCCACAATCCCTTGTGTATCTGAAGATAGCTTACATGTCTTCCCTAAATCCTCTCATCTCTTGCTTCTCTTAGGGTAAATAAACACCTCCAATGTCTGTGACCTTCCCTCAGATGACATGGCTTCAGGTTTCCTCACTATTTGGCTCACACCCCTTTGTACAAACTCTAGCTAGGCAATGTTCCTATTGAAGAGAACTGGCCAGAGAAGGATCCAGGACACCCATGGGGTCTGGGCAATGGCTTGCTTGGCCACTGGGGTGTGTCCCAGGGTCTAGCTCAGAGGCCTTGACACATACAAGTGTGGAGGCCAAGAAAAACAAGGCTGTACCCACCTCGAGTCTAGCCCTGACATAAGTACAGCCATCTTGACAAAGCAAAAGCTGTCACCTTACATCCCCTCTCCACCCGCTCCCCTCGGTAATATGTGTGACATTCCTCAGGCATGCCTGGCTGCCCTAAAAGAAAAACAAACAGTTAACTTGCAGAGACCACAATCCTACAAGACAGGAGTCTCCCTTGGTTATAAATATCCTAGAGATTTACAACAAAGAAGCTATCTTATCAATAGCCCAACTTCCAGAGATAAGTAACTCAGTTTCTCAAGCCCTTAACACTGACCTCCCCTCCATTAAACTGAAGGAGGCTGAGGCGGAAGAAAATGGAAATAAAGTTAAACCTAAACCTCACTAACAAAAAACGCTTGATAGGAGGAATGTGACATTCCACCAGGAAACTCCCAACTGTCCGTCATGTTAGTGCCTCATTAGAGGGAAAAACGGCCTTGACTTGATAATAACCAGGCCTCCTAGACCCTGACAGTCTTCATTACCCTGACAGCCCTTCTGAACATCCCCTTTGTCCTCACCTCCAGCAGTCGTGGCCCAATTATCTACTGCCGAGTCCACCCCTCCTCTGCCTTTAAAAACTCTGACTGTAATCCGGTTCAGGGTCCAAGTCCCTACTCCGCTGTGTCGGGTACACTTGGGCCCAAGCTTAAACTTGCCAAATAAACCCTTGTGCGACTGCATTGGTGTTGGCTCCTTGGTGGTCACTCGGACGCAAAAACTCGGGCATAACACAAGCAGCCACTCAGGAGATACCCACTGTGGACTGCCATGTGTTGCTTCACACACTACATGCCTCCCACACCTGCCGAATCTTTTTTGGCAGTCATTTCAGAGTCCACTCACATGGTGGTTACTGCCAACTAAAACTTGAATTTTCCTCTGGTGTGCTGCTGCTGCTGCTGCTGCTGCTGCTGCTGGAGATTTCCTACTCTGGACTTGTGCCATGGATTTTTCTGGATCTCTGTGCAATATCTATAGTCACCCTTCAATTTCACTATGGGAGATACACCCTTGGAAACATGGAGAATTTCTCTACAAGGATACATAAAAGATGGGAAAAGTTGGTTGCCTTCAGAGAAGCATACTTGGTGGTTGGGGGCAGCTTTTAATCATATATCCTTTTGTGTCGTTAACTTTTGTAGCATGTGAGTATATTGTCTATTTTCTAAGGTGACAAAAATAATAAACCAATTATGAATAAATAAATAAATAAAATATAAATAAATAAACCAAATCTATCTATCTATCTATATCTACCTATATATTTTTTTTTACCTTAATAGAGTCTGCCTATCTTTCCAGTCTAAATCGTTCTAGGAATCTGATGGGGACCTGAGTGTAACTCCATGTGCCTTTAACTTTGTTTAATTATCACATTCCCAACCCACAGTATATTTTCTAGTGTTTTTTTTCCTAAAAACTCCCTCACGAAATTTTAACACCAGATATACTGTACATCTATTTATGTGCTCTGTACTTTATACATAAAGAGTTCTCGAAACCTTACTCTAGAGTCAACGCAGGTTTAAGAATGACTAAATTTAAAAACAAAGTTAAATTAAAATTTAAAAGCCATTAGCATGCAAGTTACCCTATTCTAAAAGTTCATAATAATAGCAATGTAACTAAATGTATCTTAAAATCCTTCAAAATTATTTTTCCAACAAAAGTAAAACACTGAAAAGATTAAATGAATTTCCTAAAAACTATTTTTGGTCAACTTTTAATTTTTGCTTGATATGTGATAGTAACTTTAACCAGCTGTTAATTATTCCTTCAGGCATTGGCAACATTCTTCCTCTTCAGCACTTGACATAACTAATGGATCAGATAACTTTTGCAGAATTAAATTTAAAAAACTATTTTTAGGTAATCCCAAATCCAAATTAACACAAAAGCACTCAGGATCAAATGGAAATATCCACAAAGCAGTCAGAGGGCAGCCATCAGACAAGAGAAGGACTCATCCAGAGGTCTGACAATCACAAGCACCTCTTTGCCACAGTTTTGTAGCGTTGACCCTGCATAGGTGTATTTTCCACCAACTCAATAATGTCAGCACTCCAGATGTTATCCCCAAGAAAATGCAACAAGACAAATGAAATATTAAGGAATAAGACTTTGTGCGGTAGGGCTGAGCTCTGGAGGGACACAAAGCACTGTACCATCTAAGACTTTCTTTAGTCCTCAGGAACCAGTTTTGACACCCTTGGGAGCCATATCGCTGCCCTGCCCTCCCAGGACCGCTTGGAAAGAAAAGTAAACTTCCTCACATGCGTTTTGGGTATCGACACACAGGAAACTAGGTCCAGGCAAACCCCTCTTCCCCTAGCGCTCACGGATCCAAAGTCTAGCTCCGGGTACATCAGATTAAAAACGCTGACTTTGCAAGAGTCGCTGTAAAGGCCAGACGTCGTGTCACATCGCTTGCGCACAAAAAATGTGTTTAGGAAACAACCACCAATATCTAACCAGGGTACAGATGAAAGTGGGAGAGGAAGAATGCCCCTCAGGATGCCAGCGATGATCTCGCCCCGGGCAAAATCCAGTTCTTTCCAGGGTGATACTTTCATCCCAGTATGTGCGTAGGGGGGTAAGTCCGGACACTCACTTTACTTCACCACTCGCGACAACTTAAGGAAGGAGATGAACCGGGCTCCGGTTATCAAAAGGAGGCTCCTTTACAAAATCAGGGGACGCGCACTGCTCGTCAAAGTGGTGGACTCCGTGGACGCAGCAGCAGAGCCCCTGGGAGCCCAGGTAAGAATTTCGAGTCCCGAGGGCGCTCCGCCCATTCCAGCGCCCTCCTCGTTCGCCATGCGAGCAAGGCCTCGCTGACCCCCGCGAGAGACAAAGGGACAGGACCGCCTCGTTGGCCACGGCTTTTGCCTCCCCCACAGGCAGCCCCAGGGAAAGGCGGAGAAGCTCCACGCCACCCGGAGGGATGCGGCGACACCGGGCACGGCCGCACGGAGCCCGGCCTCCCCCTCGGTGGCGTGGCTGCGGGTCCTCACCTGGGCGTCGCCCCTGCCACTCCGCCCACAGCAGGGTCAGGTCGCCATCGGCCCGCAGGAAGCGCAGCAGCTGCACCACGAGCGCGACGAGCGCGCACAGCGCCAGCAGCCACAGTAGCAACTCCCAGCTCATCGCGGCCGCGCGTGCCGGGCTCGGCGGGAGGAAGACTGACCGCGCAGGAGCGCACAGACTCAGCGAAGCCTCCTGCCCCGCGGCGGAAGAGCTGCGGGTCCGGATCCACCCAGCTAGTGGGCAGGCGGCTGGGGGGGCGGTCCCGACGCGCGCAGTTCCGCACCGCCCTCACCCCCCTCCCAACCCCGCCCGCGGGGAGCCGCGCCCTGGGCTGCGCCATGGATGTTCGGAATCGCACCACGCCGCGCCCAGAGTCGCGAACCCCGAAACTGCTGCTTTCGCTCCGCCTGCGTCTGCGCCTGAGAAAGGTTGCAGTGGGGACAGAAGGCATGGAGAGCTTGAAGGCGCGGCGGGACGGCTGTTCGTACAGCAGCCACAAGGTTGGTCCTATCAAGAACAACTCCTTAACAGTTGTTTTGAGGGCATCCAGTTTCAAGGCTCGGGTTGTGTCAAAAGGAAGAGCACAGTAGGTCCGACCTAGGATCACGATTCCCACCATCCTCGTCTTTCTTTCCTTAACTCAATGAAGGGAACAGACTATCAATTTTCCACCCACGCCAGGCACTCACCCTCCACCCCCATCCAATGAACCTTACTCTGAGTTGCCACCTTGTCGGTTTAGATTCGAAAAGCTGTTGCAAAAGACACTTGCCTGGCTCCTGGACCGGAAAGTACAGTTTCAGTCAAACTGTCTATGAGCACTGGTTGTAGGAGCAGAATTGGAGACCTGAGCCCAGCTGGTGCCGTCCTCGGCAGCCTAAGTAAATTATTTGTCTTTAGGTACCCACAAAGAATAGAGAAGTTTAAATAAGAAAATGCCTGTGAAGGGCACAGTAGCTCATACACAGTGATTATATGTATTCTTTTGTAATTATGAGAATTGTAGTTTTTAATTGTTATTTGTTTCCTTTAGTTCTTAGATTCCAACCTGAAAGACGCACTTTGTTCATAAACTTATATATTCTAGACCTAAAGAATTACCCTTGCACGTGAAAGCAATAAGAATGTTTTCAATTGTGATGCATCAGATACTATTGTGATATGGGTCTGATTCTCCAAGGAAGACCTACACTAGCTAAACTTTGATCTTAACCGTTTGTTTACCTCAATTACAACTTGGTATAATATTGCTCCAGAGTTGCCCTCTTTAGTTTGTTACCTTTGCAATATGGGTTTTCTTCTGATGATGATAAATGACTTTTAAACTATGGTGCTTAAAGATACTACACTGAGTTTCACTCCACTGATAAAATTCCAAGAGTTTCCTCTGACCCTGTTTCCCTTCTGTAAATGTAAGGATTGATTTAGATTTAGTGTCCCAAGCCAGATCATAGCATGGATGCGCACCTGGATTCTCCATCAGAAACTCCAGTTCTGGGGAAGGTGAAAGGGGAACAGAGCTGTATCTATAATACACAAACTATAATAACACCACAGGGTCATTTCTCCTCACTAGCGAGTCTTGCATTGGAAAATGAAAACAAGTTAATATACAAATTTCAACATTATGAATTTCCTTTTACCTGAATAGAAGCATAGTTCATTTTGAAATTCAATTATATGTTTAAAGGATCAGCCACTATGATCAGAAAAACAACTGTTATCGCAAATATCTTTGCAGTGCCTAATTGTCCTCATTTGTTGTCTTTACCAGTGAGAAAAATCCAGCCTCAGAATCTGCTGCCTCTGGCGAAGATACTCAGCAAGTTCTTGTCACAGTAGCATCCGTCAGGATTGCTTCTTCCTATTTTGAGCAGAATTTATCTCAAAACTGAATCTAAAGTGTGCAAAGCGGATAAAAGACAGATGAATAAATGAAAGGGCTCCCCAGAGGCCCATGGGGCACAATAGGCAGAGCAGTGGAACCCTGGCCTCTCCTGGATTCGTCCATTCAGAATGGAAACAGAATTTCAACCATTTATAAAAGTCCAATAATTGGGGGCACCTGGATGGCTCAGAGGGTTAAGCCTCTGCCTTCAGCTCAGGTCATGATCTCAGGGTCTTAGGATCGAGCCCCGCATCGGGCTCTCTGCTCAGCAGGGAGCCTGCTTCCTCCTCTCTCTCTCTGCCTGCCTCTCTGCCTGCCTCTCTGCCTACCTGTGATCTCTGTCAAATAAATAAATAAAATCTTTAAAAAAAAAAAAAAAGTCCAATAATTGTAAAAAGTGGGTTCAAATATAAGCTACCTTATTTCCATTATGAGCAGAGAAACAACTGCCAGAATCAAGGAGGAAAGCATTCTCCATTCAGCCCCTTCTTCGTTCCCATTTGGAAAGAGCACTGGCTGCTCCCTCTACTCATGTCTCTGTATCTTTTCATGAAGCCAGGATGGTGCTGAAGGTAAGCGGCCATCAAACAAGTCCCCACGAGTCAAGGCCAATAGACCCTGAGGACAAGGTCTTTTCACAACCAGAGGAAAAAGACTAACACCATATGCTATAATTTAACACCTTAAAATATGCTTTTGACGGCACAAAAACTTACTCTTATATGACTGTCTGTTTTGGCAAAACAAATACTAGTTCAGTGCTAACCATCCTTGTTCTCAAGCCAAGATATACCTCCCAAAGTAAACGGCACAATAAAAGCAGAATTTAATCGAACACTACTAATTACACAGAATGTCAACATACTAGTCTTGGTACTTTTCCACTAAAAATAAGCTTCAAAGCGTTTCATTGCTTCCTTCTAAACACCTACATATGTTAAAATTAAGAATTTTAAGATGAGGCGTTTTGATCTACAAGCCTCCAAGGGACCCACTTAAAGTGCATAGAAATTAGGTCATGGTTGAGAACAATGGAGAGTCTTCATGGAGAATGTTGTAGGTGTTGATGCTATAGAAATTACATCCTTTTTAATTCCTGGACTACCTTATGTTCTGATGTGAAAGGCTATTCCTTGGCATGAGCCAAATACAACTTTAAAACAATGATGAAAGTGCAACAGACATCAGCTCCCCTCCTCAATGTTTTATTTTCCGGTCTGTCTACCAAGCTTCTGGTTTCTTTTCCTTGAAATATGTTGAAGACTGTTACTTGCAATAATTACGTTTCCTTAAACATCCCTTCCTTCTCCCTTTCCAATTCTGTTGCATACCACTACCCCCAGCTCGCCATTTCCATCCTCCTCCAGAAAGATGTATGTGGCTCTCCAGAGCCATAACCATCTCTTCCCTAGTCTCACCTCTTTTTTAATTACTTCTGATGGGAACTATATCTGATATCTCTAATTATTTTCAGGGTTAATATGCTATTATCCCAGTGAAACTTTAAGCTCCTTGAGATCAAGTAACAAAACGAATGCTTCTTTTGAAGAGTCCGCAGTACCCATCTTAGTGGGTTAATACAACAAACAGTAAGCCCACATTAAATTGAATTCTCCTTTCCTTGAAAGTTAAACCTCCTTGAAGTTCCTTTCTTTAATTTAATTTTTTTTATATATTTTACTTATTTATTTGAGAGAGGAAAGGAGAGAGACATCATGAGCAGGGAGGAAGGGTAGAGGGTGAAACAGACTCCTTGCTTAGCAAAGAGCCTGATGCAGAACTCCATCCCAGAACCCTGGGATTATGACCTGAGCCAGAGGCAGATGCTTAACCAACTGAGCCACCCAGGTGACCCTCTCTGAAGTTCTTTTTTTTTTTTTTAAAGATTTTATTTATTTATTTGACAGTGAGAGAAATCACAAGTAGGCAGAGAGGCAGGCAGAGAGAGGGGTAAGCAGGCTCCCTGCCGAGCAGAGAGCCTGATGCAGGGCTTGATCCCGGGACCCTGAGATCATGACCTGAGCGGAAGGCAGATGCCTAACCCACTGAGTCACCCAGGCGTCCCCATCTCTGAAGTTCTTAAGTTGATAGAAAAAGAATTGCTAGATTTTAACAAACCAGTCTTCCCTGAGTGCCATTAAAATGCTTTGAATAAAGTCTCAGCCAAGGCCTTTCTTACAATTGGTTGCCTTTGTTTTACATTTCAATTCTGATAGAATGGTATCCCCTTCTCTCCTATTGGTAATGTCACTTTTGATGGTATAGGCTCAGGCCTACTGGAGATAGATCAGCCAGGATGGAAGGCAGTCATGTGTAAGAAAACTGTCACTTTCCATAATAAAATAAAAATAAAAATAACTTTAGGGGGACCTGGGTGACTCAGTTGGTTAAGCATCTGCCTCTGGCTCAGATCATAATCCCAGGATTCTGGGATCAAGCCCCACATCAGGCTCCCTGCTCAGTGGGGAACCTGCTTCTCCCTCTTACTCTGCTGCTCTGTCTACTTGTGCTCTCTCGCTCTTTCTGTCAAATAAATAAATAAAATCTTAAAAAAAAAAAAAAACTTTAAAAATCCAGATCTTTAAAAAAAAAAATCCAGATTCCCCCCTTATTGGCAGTCTCTGGAGGAAAAAAATAAAAAACACAAAGAAAGCCCCAGTGGGTGGAAACAGAAACTGAGGAAGTTAGGGAGAAGAATATTCTTCCTGTAGAAGAGGAAGACATTTGTGCTTTTTGATTGGAGATACCACAACCCCTAGATACTTTTGGGAATTTGTTAGATATGCTTTGTTTTCATAGTGCCAAGTGGCCATGGTCCAGGAGTGCTAAAGTCTGGCCATGGTGGACACATGCTCCTTCTTCTATTCCCTGCTTAAGGGAAACATTCCTGCATTCCTCTGCCTCTGTTTGCCTATAATCCTAGAAGCATTCAGGTTATTGTTTACTATTCTCATATTCTGCAGGCAGACATGGTCTTACTTGAATAGTCTTGGGTCTCATATAAATTATTTCCTTATCTTTAGTAATCTTATGGGGTTCCGTACTAGGAAAATTCCGCTGCCTTTTAGTTCTGCATATCACTGAATTGATTGTCTCTTTAGATAGCTGATTGCCACACTATCTTGAGTCTCTTAGACATGAACAATTCACTATATGATTCTCTTCTCTCCCTCTCTGTCTCTCTCCTTCCCTGCCTCTGTCCCTGCTCCATACTCTCTCATTAAATGACTCGTTTCAAACTTCCCCTTGCATATAGCAATAGACGTTCTAGTCAGTGGTGGTGGTTACTCA